TTGCTCGATCACCCTCAATCCAACGTTTTATCGTTATTGACTTGAAATTCTCTACTTTGCATATTCAACTCATAATTGCTTTAACTTAACTCGTACTCATTCTGCAACTACCCGATTAATCCTTATAGTTCCAGCCGCCTCCCCTACACCAATCGTTTTTGATTCTCCATCAGTTCTTGTCCACGTAACTTTGTCATTGCCTCATTTTTCGTTTGTTTGTTTGTTTGTTTGCTTGTTTGTTTGCTCATTCTTCGTTCATTCTTCCATATCAAGTAACACCTTTGTTTGATTGGTTTCACATAACACCATGAGGAAAGGTATTCATTCAGTGACATTGCATCTGCTGGCGGCTAAGACCAGGCAGTTTGACGTCGTCGTCATTCCGCAAAGAAGCGATGGTGTCATCACGATCGCTGACTTGGACGTGTCTTCTGGTTCAACTGGTAATGTCTGTCGTATGCCTGGTTGCTTCGATGGCTGTCATTGCTGCCAAACTTCAATCCGTATCAATCTATGAGGACAAGCAGTTTGTCAGGTTCGTTTTTTCCATCGAAACCAGGAATCATTACTTCCAACAGTCCGATACCATAGGGTCCCCCAGGTGCAATTTTTCTGAGCCTCACCTTTTTTCTCAGATTTTTCTTTTTTCTATCTCATGCATTTCATCAGTCTTTCAAAAATTGAGACAGAATCGTGTCATTTGCACGATTTATGAAGCCTGCATTTACAATGAACTTATACTCAAAGTTCTTGCCGAGTGACACGATGTCCAACTAAAAGTGCGACAGACCTTTCAGACATTTCCTAATGAAAAGCTTTCTTTCCATGAAAGTTTTCTTGATACGGTGATCATAGAAGTTCAACCATTTTCGAACATTCGAGATAATTCCCGGTGTGGATTAGAAGGCAATTCCTACGAAGAAGTGGCCCCTGCTCCACTGGGCTTCAACACCCCCTGGCTTACAATGCTATCACAAAGCTAAGCTGCCCTGATTTCTGAACTTCAATTTCTGAAAGTCGAAATAAACACAGAAACACCTGCACCCTATCCAAGGGAATTTCTTCTGAAACTCTGTATTTCTTTGCACACTCAATGGAGTTTGAGCTGAGAATTTCTAGAACCCCATTCGCAACAAGTTACAGTACTCTGATCTCTTAAGAATATGTTAATATAAAAATGCGTTGAAGGCACTATACGAAAAGTGTCTGGGATTTACCCCTAGTATAGTAAATTTGACATTGTCGCGCTAAGAAGGGTCTAAGCAGGCCGCGCGACATACAAACCCAAAACTGGCCATGTTCTGACTCTGTTGTAACGCTGCACCATTCACAATAAAGCACTAAAACGCCGATGAATAGTACGCGTATTTGGGAGACACCCAGACGGTTACAGAAGGCGATGCATTTATACTGAACCCGCAGTCAAGCATTTTCTCTTTCTTTTCCAACGAAATAACTTTTACGCTATGAACCATGCTGTCAGTGACATGAATGCGCCAAGTGGAAGGCAATTTTTGTCATTTTTGACCTACTGTCGCCAGCTCTTCAGTTCTTCACGATATATCACTGACTGACAGCTCTTTCAAACACCCGTTCCTTACTGTTTATGCCGTTACAATCCCGTACAGCCTTTCTTAGAAGTTTTCTGAAGCCTTACAGTTTCTAGAATTCACCGGTCTCTGTGCTTTCTTCGCCACCCTTGCATTATTCTGCGCCATGACTTCCATTATGTCACTTGAAGTGACACCAGTTATAAAAGGGTAGATCTGCAAGTTCAATAACATGTTTCAATGTAGCTCATCTCCAATTAGAAAATACCTCTGAGGCAAACGATTAACTCTCCACCACAGATTCTTTTGATAGAATCCTTAGAGAAATCGGAAAATATTCACCAAAATACTCAGTTGAGAACATACTGTATCTACTTGACGCACATAACTCGATCGCAATACTCCGTTGCTTTTGTTTCTTTCGAAGTAACTATCTGTTCCGAGGAAGAGGAGATACTCCAAATGTAGTTAATATTGAAATCCCCTGGAAACGAGATGGCATTTACCTGGAGACCGGAATAATCCCGGCTCTTCTTCTTTGCCACGTGAACTCCTTTGTGTGATAGGTCTCTTTTGTGTAATGTTCTATTTGGTAACACATTTGATTCATTCGGATCCTCTTTTCGCTTCCTGAGATAAACCAGTAATGGGGCAATTTAAAGGAAAAAGAAAGGAAGTAATTACCCTTCAGAGAAACAAACACCCTCACTGCAAGGTTCGATCACTTCCAAATAGGCATTGGGTGTTTATCTAATGAGGGGCTGAACTATTTGAATAAACTAAGGAATTTCATATACCACGGCATCCACAATACGATAACTCTCCTACCAGAATCCCCTCACCCAAGTGCAAAATAGGGTTTTCACTCCCTCTGACACTCGTCTGCAGGACTCATAGCTAGTTTGTTCTCGTAGAGGTGCTGAAGTTTTACCCAAGAACCTATTCAGAGAACATTCCGGAAACGCAATTTTCAAAATTTAAGCCATCTACACAGGTGACAATCGAGAAATGCAGGTACAGAGAGCAAGGATTAGTGAGCCACAAAATACTAGCCAGTTTGGGGAGTTTTTCTCGGGTCATTATAGAAATAGCGGCTCAGCCTTGCCTTGATGGAACGTAACGCTTTTACTGTAACCACCTCACGCCATTTCTAGCCGATTACTCATTTTATATAATGAAGTTGTAAATAGTATTTCACTAAAGTAACCTGATTTACAGGTATAGGCTTATGGTAAACAATTTACTTCCTGATCAACTGAATGCGTTCTGTAACCTTCTTCGAATATAAACTCGTTGAAGGGACGTGTCCGTGCTCATCGTTAGAGCTTACTCCTAACAAGCCTCTACACCATTCCACCTCCCGTGACCTGTAACCATAACTCAATAAGTATCCTAAAGGTGAAGCGATTTGGTTGCCTTCCTATAGAACATAAAGGATAAAGTTTTTGGCGTTAATCAATCCCGTCTGAGGGATTCGCCCCCGCACTCGACTTCCATTCAGAATCGTAGTGGCGTAATGAATGCGTATGTGGCCTATACAATGGCTTGCGGTGGCCAGCCGATGTACAAGCCAGCGCTTTTATCCTCACAGACAAGTGTGGTACCAATTCACCAACCGCGGAGGGATGGACGGCTTGGTTGGTCTAGGCGGATATCGATCGGGGACTCGAACCCGCGACCGTGCGTGTGAGATAGTGCATCACTTGTCATTACACCACCTCCGCCCTTATAGAACATAGCATGCAGGAAACTGTTTTATCAAATTGACTATACCCGCTAGGCTTTGCGATCACTCAGAGCTCGATCGTTTTGAAATTGTTGATTGG